TGTAAGGCCCAGTTATAGATTAGGAGAGGAAATCTCATCTAGAACATCTAGTATGTTGTAACAGAAGCCCGCGGGTGAAGTAAGTTCAATAAAAAAAAAACATCCATTTACTCTCGAGCAGGAATAAATAAACTCATGGCATATTTATACAACAGCGAAACACATCATTTACTATCTGTGTGATGTGTTATCTTTACTATATTATTTTCCATCATAGTGTAATAATGCCACATGTGTGGAGTGGATATCTGTATCTGTAGTTGACACAAGCTTTTCGTCATGTAAAATTTATTTAAAAAATCTTTTTCAAGTAGTAAAAAAATGACATCACTCATAATCTTTTCATTTATAAATGTAAATGTATAAATGAAAATGTGTTTATTGTAATTTTACATCTTATTTAACCAGTTTGCTCTTACCATTTCGGTAACATTCGCAGAACTCATCAGATTTCATTTGCGGTTCCTCGTTTTAGAAAGGAGTCTGGGGATCTGGTTTATCCTATCCTGTCAAAGCTCCAATGGGCTGGAACCTGCTGGTTTAACTGTTTCTGACTTTCTTTGTGGTTTAATATTCATACATTTACAGTAACTCTTACTTTAACTCAGTATTTATCTGTTCCCTGTTATAATAGTAAAAAAAAAATAATAATAATAATTAGACTTGTTTGATGTTTCATTGTTTTGTTATTTTATGCTATTGATATTAAGTTAGCATGGAAAATGTTTCTGCTATCTTGGTCTCTTCTTATCATTGTGCATTTCTATGGAGAACCCACTTAAAAAACAAGATGGTTCATCTCAAGTGGCTCTCCTGCTAAAAATCATGTTAATAAACAAATTGCATAATACTCATTAACCATTACTGTTTAAGTTTTTATTTCATGCACTAGGCTGCAGAAGGAAAAGGAAAACCCTGTAATTACAAAAGGAGCATTGAGGTGTCACCGAATGGCAACCATGTTTTTCTTAAACCAATCACGTCTGCAGACTCTGCTTTGCAGGAAATTACCCTCAGAATTACCTCAGAAGCATCACCTTATCTACGTTTGATCTCCACCACCCACCTTCTCTTTGAAATAAATTAAGATGTCCTCTGTCCTACAAGTTCTTCATCTATTCTCAGACTGTGTAAACTAATTTGTACTTATTACCAAAATCCGCCTTCCTGATCATGTCTAATTTCTCATTTCAGATGTTCAGTCTAAAAGGTCAGCACCTCTGAGATTCTCCCCATCTGCTCATTCTTGCCCAAACCACTACAAACAGCACGAGCTGTATCCGCTAAGAAAAACATTTCACCAATGAGTGACTTTACCTTGATCCCCTTGTTTGATGAAATTATATGGTGGAGGTTGAGATGTGAGTGAATTGTGCTCAGTCACCTGCTGCCATGGTCACAGACATTACTGCTGACAGACTGAAGGGAAGCTAAAGAGCGAGGAGTCCTTGAGCTGTGCTGAAGCCTATTACCCAACTGTAACAGCAACAAACAGCTGTGCGGAGTAAATCTCTACTCACTATCGTTTAAGGAATCTGTTTGTAAGAGATATCACACGAGGCTGGATGCGTACGTTCTTTAAAACCATACGTGGAACAACAACTTGAGTGATGCCCTTCACACAGTCATGCTCACAGTTACTCATGTTCTCCACGCATCAGAAACCCACTTTAACCCTGCAAATGGATTACGTCCAGGGCCAGATTAACACTTTGTTGTACCCTGGGCAGCAATATTCAAGGGCCCCATCATCACGACCCAAGGATCACCATAATATGGTCACATACAGAATATTTTACTGTAATATGCAGTAAATATACTCAATACTTGGGGGGGGGGGGGGGGGGGGGGCATTTTGCCTTGGCCCTAAAAATGTCTTGAAACGGCCCTGGGTGTGTGACTGAGTTTTGAAGGTGATCTGAATTGTATCAGATGTATAAATATTGCATGTGTATAATTTATTGCTTTCTACGGGTAAAAACATGTAGTGGAGATAAATCTACCTACATTTTACTTTTCAACACTTTGTTTTCTTGTTTTTATTTAACTATTTTTGGGCTGTGCGGTGGTGCAGTGGTTAGAGCTGTTGCCTTGTGGCAAGAGGGTCCTGGGTTCGCTTCCCGGCCTGGGATCTTTCTGCATGGAGTTTGCATGTTCTCCCTGGGCATGCGTGGGTTCTCTCCAGGTACTCTGGCTTCCTCCCACAGTCCAAAAACATGACTGTTAGGTTGATTGTTCTGTCCAAATTGTCCTTAGGTGTGAGTGTGTGTGTGCGTGA